TTTGTTAACTTAAAATACACATAGTAAATCCTAGGGTGGTAAATAAATGAATATTTAAAGTTTTTAAAGTTTTATATTCTGTACGTTTCTGTATTTTTTAAACATAACCACATAGATACTGTGGTTAAATGTGTAGGTCATAAAAATACTCTCATGAGTTAATTCTCCACTGCTACCTTGTGGAATATAGAAGTAAAGTTTAGTCATCAGGCTGGATGTGAGAGTCTCTGTCCCTGAATCAGCCATAAATAAATATTGTTAAGAATGTCATGCCAGGACAGAAAATGAACTGTATTTATAAAAAAATATTCAATTAAGCCAAAGAAAAGAAAAGAAATTTGAAATGTAAAAGATGAAACTACTGAATAAGGATGATAATGTAGCTCGTTGTGCACGAGGACCTGTGCTCAATACCCACAAATACAAACACAAATGAGTGAAAGGTCCCAAACACGTAAGAGCAGTGTAGTTTTCAATAATAATCTACACATGTGATTATGCACTTAAATATGCATATTCATGAAGAAACTAAATATAGAATGTTCCTCCCTGAGAACTAAACCAGATTTTTATATTATATCCACGGATGAGTATAGTCCTCAACCCTCATTAAAGAGACTTCTCTTTTCAACAGACAGAGACCAATACACAAAACCACAGCCAACCAAAATGCAGTTGTGGAGTCCTAATAGATACATCTATAATGCAACTTGTGCACCTAAGGTATTGGTATCATTGTAGAACGGGTGAGGCAGGTGGCAGAAAGATTTTAAAAGAAATTTGCTGCGAGATTGTGTCTCCAGTTAATATCAAAAGCTACACCCGTACAGTCCTACTAACATGATTGCTTGAACATGAGCTGAACAAGGACAACAATAATACAAATGCCAAACTAGATGGGGATAAGACCAGAAGGCCTCGACCCTATCAAAGAAACTACAGACAAATAAGGAATGATGAAAATGGGAGAAACAGTCTTCCCCTAGAAATAGAACACCAGCTGGTTATCCAATAAAAAACTGTCAGCTGTGCAAACAAGTAACATATAGACAAGGCACATTGTATTTAGCAATAAATGTATATGTATATATGTAACAACAATTACTGATAAAAACAAGGAAAGAAGGGAGATATGGGAGGATTTAGAGAGGAAAGGGAAAGGATATTATGATAATCTCAAAATATGAAAGAATAATATAAAATGATAGGAAGTTCTAAATATTTTGTCACCAGATGCCTCTTTGAAAATGAAGTAATTTTTCTTTAAAATTTAGTGATGCACAAGTAAATATCATTCTACACAAAAGGTATGTATTACATGTTTATTGAATAATAATTTACAATATTCAAGGCAGAGGAGTGAGTCAGACAAGGAACATTGGAGGAAATGATGATGAAACTGCAGCAGAAACATACAGAATATGATTACTCAAGTCTTAAGAGCAAGGAGTCCTGGTCATTTGCTGTACTATGGGTAATTTAATGTGCATTATGCTATGGTATATAAGACGAATGTAAGGAGAAACATTTCGCAAAAGTAGTAAGTGGAGAGTATATTAAAGAGTCTGTATACACAGAATGACAATATGGTAACAGCTAACAAGTCTTATGGCAAGGGAGAGAAAAAGAGACATAGGTCAATAATACTGAGTAACATAAACATAGGATGAAATGACTGTCCTAGTTTACTTTCAGTTGCTGTGATGAGACACCATGAGCAAGGCAGCTTTCAAAAGAAAACATTTAATTTGGGGACTTGTAATTCTAGAGGGATTGAGTCCATGACCGTCATGTCAGAGACAATGGGGGTGGGCCAGCAAACATTCAGGCATGTCATTGAAGCAGTAGCTGGCTGCATACATTTGATCCACAAGAATGAGGCAGACAGAGCCTGAGAATAAAACAGACTTTGAAACCTTAAAGTGCATCCCCTTCATAACATATCTCCACCAGTGAGTTCTCACCTCCCAAAGGGCTTTGCCAACTGTCGACTAGAAATTCAAATGGTACGAGATCTCTAGCAAATAACTGTAAAGAGAAGCCTACCTTGAGAGAAGCCTTCCCGCCAGCCTGGTTCCAGAGCCGCATGAGTCCCAAATAAACACACAGGAGGCTATATTAATTATGAAGCTGTTGGCCTTGCTTGTTTCTTACTGGCTAGCTCTAACTTAAGTAATTACCCCATAATTGTTAATCTATGTCTCTTACCGGAGAAGTTTCCGGGCTTCCTACCTCATGGCATTACATCTCGACTCTCTTGTGTTTCTCCTTCCCAGAGTCCTCCTGTACTCCTAGTCCCACCTATCTAGATTCCTATTGGCTCAACAGTGCTTTATTTACATGAGACTTCCCCAACATCTCCTCTTTTCTTTTTAAACAAAAAGAAAGTCTTAACTTTAACACAGTCAAATTGTATATAACAGAACAGTTATCAAGTAAGAACATAGTTACAATATTTTATCTATCAACATTTAGCTAGATTTAAAGAAAACATCATCCATCCCATCCTTGTGAGACCAAAGTTCTATATGTAGCTTATCTTTTATAATAACTAAGGAAAACTATAATTATAACTATCTGTCTTCAACTCCATCAAAGACCACAGAAGGATAATATGTAAACCCTAGGATTGACAGAGACATCTTGCTCCCTGGACAGCCACCTGAAGTTTCTCTGTAATGTTGGGGCATCCATCTTCAGCCCATAGGTCACAGTGTGTCCAGAAGATTTCTCTGCAAAGGAGGAAATTTCAAGCTGTCCATCTGCATTGGCAGTCTGTCAGTCATGTCTCTGTGTCCTGCAGAAAGTCTCGTAGACTCTTCCATGAAGCAGGAATCCTGTAGGACTGTTTGAGTTCAGCAGTCACTTTCCTGTGGGTCCTACATGTCCAGTTTAGACAGCAACAGTCAAACAGTCTAGGCAAGGGCAGTTTCTTGCCCAAATGGCTAATCTTGCCATGTTGAAAGCAAACTCGGTGATGAGTTTCTGCGATGCCCATTTTCCTCTCAGACATAATTGGTGCTACCAGGAGCAGACATTTCTCATTGTCAAGAAAAACCCTAGGGCAGTAGATCAGTACTCATCCCGAGTATACACACAGACTTTGGACTCCCATCCAACAATGTGAGGTGCACTCTCACCCTGAACTCTTGGGGGAGGGTCTAGGCCCTGCCCTGGATGAAATGACAGACTATGGACACCCCCATGGAGGGCTTCACCCTCCCTGGGGAAATGAGGGGATAATGGGGGGTTGGGAGGAGGGCACAGGAGGAGGGGAGGGAAAGGGAGAGGGACCTGGAACTGACTTGTGAAGCAACCTTGTTTCTTATCTAAATTTAAAGAAAAGTAAAAAATGAAAAAAACCCTAAACCATTTTAAATGCCATTTTCTGAAGGTCTTTGAAAGGTTTGAAGACTGTTTATCTGTTTCAAATACATCTCTATATATCTAGAAAACCTAACTTACCTAACTATAAATTCTAACTATTATAAGTAACTATCTATAGTCTGTATTGAATTATGCATTATGTTTTAAAAGATCAGTATAAGCACAATACTTAATCAAGAGGAGAAACATAAACATCACAAAATTGACTTTGACTTTGTATCAATAAATGAAAAGCCATACCCATATCATAATTCCCCTTTTTACCATTAAAAAGAGATTGACTGTGATCATTAACCAATTATAAACAATCCCATTTAAATGAAAACAAAGATTTATAAACAAGATGGGAACTAGGATGTCGCTCATTCCAAACTGCTTCATGCTGGAAGGGGGCACTGTTTATACCATGGGGATCATGACAAAACTCAGAAACCTGTATAAATCCTTATTTTCAGGGTCTATAAGACTGCATCATCTTAGTTGTTTCAATTGTTGGAACACCTGGCCCACTGCTTCCGGGGGTCTTGGTTCATCGAACCACAGAAGCCTGGAAGAAATCCTCAGCTTTTTATTTTCTGTAGAAACATAAATAAAAATTCTTTTCCCAAGTAACATATCCTTATACTTAAATTCTGAAGTCAAGGCATTTTCAAAAGATATAAGTTGAATTAATTCAGCAGCATTTATAATCAAGTGTACTTTAGCAGTTGTTCCTTTCTGAGCAATCAAAAAATTGAAAAACACAATAGCACACAGTATCCAGACTCTCTGTGTATTTTCCATCTTTACATGGCTTATTTATTTATCTATTATTACTTTATTTCTTTTACTTTTATTTATTTTTCTCTGAGACAGGGTTTCTCTGGAAATCCGCCTGCCTCTGCTTCTGTAATAAACCTTACTGGCTTACACCACCACAGCCGGTTTCTCTATTTATTTACCACTATGTCGTTTCTTTTTCTCTCTCAATCTTACATATATTTTTAAACACACTGTAAACATTTAGAGATTTTTCTTCATCCAAGCCTGACTTTACTGTAAAGCTTTATGTTTTTCTGGCCACGTGTCTTATCTGTTAAAACCGTGCCAGCTGTACGTACACACCTTTCAATCCTTAGCAGAGTCTCTTAAAAGAACCTTGTTGTTTTTTTGGTTTTTTGTTTTTTGTTTTTTTGTTTTTTTTGCTTATGCTGAGTCAGGAAGACTCCCTTAAGCGAATCGCATGAGTCTCCACTTGTCGCTAGCAAAACAGAGCCCACCTGAGAAAATGCTGCTACCAAAAATCTGTGCTTCTCTCCGTTCTTCTGTTTCTAAAATTCCTTTAAAGCTTTTGTCATTCTATGTGGAAATTCATCATCGCACTCCTGATCACCATTATGTAAAGGGAAGCCTTTTCCTTGAGAGAAGCCTTCCCACCAGCCTGGTTCTAGAGCCGCATCAGTCCCAAATAAACACTCAGGAGGCTAATTAATTATAAAGTTGTTGGCCTTGCTTGTTTCTTACTGGCTAGCTTTGACTTAAGTATTTAACCCGTCTAAGTATTTCTCTTAGTGGAGAAAGGGGTCAAGACTTCTGACCCCTATGGTAGCTACATCTTGACTTCCTATGTTTCTCCTTCCCAGTGTCCTCCTGGACTCCTAGTCCCACCTATCTTTGTTCCCTATTGGCCAACAGTGCTTTATTGGCATATACACAGGACTTCCCCCATCAAATAACAGCTTGTTGCATTAAGAAATTTTGCTAAATATGAAGTTTTTGCCAAGAGGAAAAAAATTGAATATTTATATGAGATGATATATATATATATATATATATTAGTTTGTTCAACTGTGGCAATCATTTCATCACATGTAAACCAATCTTCAGGTTACAGTCTTCCAATTTGTACTCTAAATTTTAGTTCAGAACAGAAATATGGGCAGTGCTGACCTCAGAGGCAGAGTTATGACTGAAGAGAAAATGTCAATGCCCAAAGGCAAGAGACAGTTCTGTGTCTTGATTGCTTCCATGGCTGTAGCCTCACACACTGAAGAAAATTTGTTGATTTGTTCCCTTTGATGTCATATTATGCTGTCTTAATTCTACTTCAGTTGACAATATCACATACTTCAGCTTTAAAATTGAAATTCTTTTTTATAGAACACGTTACTAAAATAAGCGTAGTTCAAGAAGTAAATGCTGTGGGCTTCAGGGAATAGCATGAATTTGAAACTGCATTGGTTTCAAAGGAACATAATCTAAAGAGCCTCATTGGAAATTAGTCTTAAGGGACTAGACAGAGAGAGGGGAAGCATGGCAAAGATAATAGAGGAAGACAAATGACTATGGAAAGGTAAGCAAAGCACTCTGAAGGCAACCACATGGATGTTGATGGATCTCATTACAAAACCTGACCAGACTCTTTTGATTCACAAAATGGCAGACACAGTAAACATGAAAGTAAGGACTCCACCAGGCCATAAGAGATTTAACACAGATAACTCTTGAGAATGTATATCTGTTTACTAAACAATATGTGTAAGAAAGACTGTAGCTCCATAAATTCTTCACCTGTAGAAACTATTAAGAACTGGGATTATAAGTTATATCTATTTAACTCTTGAAACCCTGAAGAAAAAATGTATTTCAAAGAGGAAGTTTTGCAAACCATAAAATTCATTTAACCACTATAAATTTTGTGACTAAAGTCATTCAACCCTTTCCTGCACTTTCTTTCATCTTCTGATGATGGAGGGTTTAGAAGAGTAGGAGCAGTCCTTGGCCCCAGAGCACTTACAAGGAACACTATCAAAAGGAGGTGATTAAGCCCTGAGTAAGACAGCTCCAGAAATGCTGCAGTCAGTGTTTGTAGAAAACACTCTGTGTCACTCAACATTCACAAAAATGATTGTTTCAACTGATTGAGGTCAGGTGACAAACCCAAAAATGTTGAGAAGATAGTCCACACATAAGGAAATTTTCTCTCTCAAAAGTTTTTCTCATGTAAAACAAGCTATTTAAAAGTAAAATAAAAAATGATTAAAAAAAAAACAAAAAAACAAAAAAACAAAAAAAAAGTTTTTCTCTTTGATCACAGCATCTCCCAGCTGGTGTGCTACACAGTTTCCAGTTCTTGCAGCTCTCCTGAAGAACCCCTCTCCCCATCTTCCTCCTCCTCTGGAGTATCCTGCAGGGCTCTCTGCAGAAACAGCTTCAGAGTCTTCCGCTGGAACCTGCGGTGTCTGATGGAGCCAACAAAGAAGTAAATGATGGGGTTGGCACTGCTGTTAACGCAGGATAGGAATAGTATCACATAAACATCGCAAATTTGAACATAATATAAATCCCCAATCCATCTGTAGAGGTGACAGTAGATCCCCAAGGGAAGACCAAAGATCAGGAAGAACAGCACAGTGAGTGCAAGGGTCACATACAGCCTGGTCACAGGAATCCGATGTGAGCCACAGAAGATCCTCACCAGCAGGGTAAGGTTGGACCCACAGAGAACCACAAATAAAGCAATTGACCATGAGGCAATGATGAAATCAAATGTCTGACACCAAAACATGTCAAAACTATTAAACAGTACACCACGTGCCATCATATCCAGGACAGTCAACAGCAGAGACAGAGCCCAAAGCAAGGCACACATGACAGCTGATGTGTGCCTTGGGCGTTGGCAGCGATACCAGATGGGCCACATGACGGACAGGCAGCGTTCAATGCTAATGGCACTGAGAATGCTCAGCCCACAAAAATAAGCAAACTTTAACAAAACAATAGAAAACAAAGCAATATGGATGGTAATGGCATAGAAGGTATCAATGAAAACAAGAAGACAAAACACAAACTCAAAGCACAGGAAGAGGAAGTCAGCCATAGCCAGGTTGAGCATATAGACAGAGAAGGCCTTCCTGTGCATGTGGAAGCCCAGAAACCATAGGACTGTGGCATTTGCTGCCATTCCCAACAAGATAACCATGAAGCAGAGGAAAAACATGACTTGGAACATGATGTCACAATAGTTATAATGTGTATAGATGTTTCCATTTGGTGCTGTGATAGGAGTCTCCCAGGTTGAAACACTTGAATTCTTGCTTAGAAAATCTCCAATAGTGTTCCTGGATCAAAAAATAAAAAATAAAAAGACATGAGCACATGCTGTGTACTTTTTGATTCCCAGGACCACCCTTCTCTGTGATAACTGAGCTGGTTCATAAGGAGGAGAAAGAGGATTGAGAACAGAAAGTAATTTTTTCAAAACCTATATTTCTGCACCTTTAATTTAAGTCCAATTTGTATTTATTTAAGCTGTCTACAACCCATGTCCTGTACTGATATGAGAGTAGCTGGTAACCCCAGTACAGGCACTAATTGTCTGGAGTTGTGTCAGAAAGAAACAGAAATGTAAACCCAAAATTAGTGAGGAGGCCTAGGTAATCTATTGAGCTTTGGGTAGTAGATCAGTATTTATCCCAGGTATACAAATTGACTTTGGGCTCCCATCCAACAATGAGAGATGCAGTCTCACCCTGAACTCTTGGGGGAGGGTCTAGGCCCTGCCCTGGATGAAATGACAGATTATGGATGCCCCCATGGAGGGCCTCACCCTCCCTGGGGAAATGAGGGGATATTGGGAAGGTTGGGGGGAGGGCACGGGAGGAGGGGAGGGATAGAGAGAGGGACCTGGAATTGACACATGAAGCAACCTTGTTTTTAAATTTCTAATTTAAATTTAAAAATAAAATATTAAAAAAAGATGGTTCTTCTCTGGTGCAGAAACTTAGGAGCCAGAATCATGACTAACAGCTGCTCTCAGTCCTGGCAGGGGAAACTATCAACTGGGAAGATAAGAAATCATGAATAAGAGTATTGATGGGAATGGCAAATCTTAGTAAGACCAGTATGAAAAGATTTCAGGATAATGTGACCCTGTCTGTATTTCAGATTTGAAACTAGAAAGCAGGAAGGCCTTTGGGGATATTGTGCACTTATCTGTTGTCTGCTGCTAAATCATAACTATCTATCTCTCTATTGAGACACAGTGAGAAATTGAGACTTTTCATGGAACAAATGAATAGTCATAATCCCAATAGATGCCACAAATTTAAAGTAAGTGTTTTTGCAAATATTTTAGAGCAAGTTAGTACCACAAAACACTTAGAAAAGAAAGAAAATAATTCTAGTGTATTTGAAAGAATTGTTTGTGTTGTGGGCTGGTTAATGATGGCCTTTGTCATTCTCCAACACCAGAATATCCAGTAACTTACAGTATTGATGGCCTAAAATAGTTTTGGTCCAGAATTTGAGCATTGATTTGAGGTTAACTGAACTTCTAAGACTCTTAAAGAATAAAAAAGACACCACAATTGGCCAGTCTGCAATTTCACTGACAGAGAGTCTGGGAAACAGGAAAGAACCTAAGAGAGATATGGATGGTACCCCCCCAGAGAAGAAGAATGAGGCAAGATCTCCTAAACAGATTGGGAACATGGCAGGGGTTGGGGGGGGGGAGTGGGAACTGGGAGGAAGGGAGGGGGAGAAGAGGAAGAGAGAGTAGGTCATGGGGGAACAGGAAGGTTGAGTTGGTGGTAGAATAGGGGAAGAACAGGATGAGAAATACCATAATAGAGGGAGTCATAAGTTTGAAAAGAGATCTGGCACCGGTGAGACCTCTAGAGATCTATCTACAAGGATGACACCAACTGGCAAGCTAAGCAATACTGGAGAGGCTACCTTAAGTGCCCATTCCTGATAACTTGACAATTACCTTATATGCCATCCTAGAACCTTCATCCAGTGACCAATGGAGATGCAGGATTTAGCCAGGCAGGAAATCCAAACAGGGATAGAGGAAGGTAGCAGGCAAGTCAGGGAAATGCCATGTAGCAGCCAAGGAAGCAAGAGGCCTGGGCATCACCGGTAAGCCAAGACCACATGGAGATACACAGATTAATAGAAATGGGGTAGCCAATTAAGAACCTGAGCGATAGGCCAAACAACTTATAGTTAACGTAAGTCTATGTGTATTTATTTGGGACTAAATGACTGCAGTACTGGGCAGGACAGAAAAATAAGTCTACATGTGATGCACAATCCTTTGGCAAGAATATCCAAATAAAGCATGACAAAAGCTTTTAAATGGATTCTAAAAATAAAAGAACAGAGTCAACGTGACTTCTTGGTAGCAGCATTTTCTCAGGTGGGTTTTGTTTGCTAGAGGCAAGCAGAGGCTGGGCTCCTTTAAAAGAGGCTTCCTGACTCAGCCTGAAAGGCTCTTTTAAGATGCCCTGCTACCAAATAATTAAATGGTGTTCATGAGCAGCTGATGCCATGAAGTTAGACTTCCAGGAAACCAAAGAATGGGATGCACCCAGCTGCCACTTAATCTTAGCCATGCTGCTTAGCATATTAAAAACTCATGTGGTCAGAAAAAGATAGAGATATACAGTAAAGGCTGATTCACACTGGGAACAAAAAAAAACCTTTAAGGGATTTACAGTGTGTTTAAAATTATACATAGACTTGGGAGGGAAAAGAAAAAGGATAGCTGGGTATGGTGGTGCATGCCTTTAATCCCAGCACTCTGGAGGCAGAGGTAGGTGGATCTCTGTGATTTCAAAGCCAGCCTGGTCTACAGAGAAAGTTCCAAGACAACCAAAGGTACACAGAGAAACCCTGCCTCAAAAAAAAGAAAAAAGAAAATAAAAATAAAAGAAATAAGTAGTGAAAAGGCCAAGTAAAGAGAAAATACACAGAGAGTCTGGATATTTATGTTATTTTGTTGTCTTTGAGTTGTTTGACTGCTGAGGAAGTAGAAGCAGAGATCCACAGTTAAGCACTGAGCCCAACTCCTGGTTGTAGAAAGAGAGGAGTGATGAGCAAAGGGGTCAAGACCATGCTGGGGAAACCCACAGAAGCAGCTGACCTGAGCAAGTGGGAGTTCACAGACCCCAGTCTGACAGCTGGGGAACCAGCATAGGACTGATCCAGGCTCCCTGAAAGTAGGTATCAGCTCGGAGACCTGGGCAGTCTGTAGGGCCTCTGGCAATAGAACCAGTATTTATTCCTAGTGCATGAATGGATTTCAGGAGCCCATTCCCCATTGACTGACTTTAATGATCCCTCATGGAAGGCCTCACCCCTCCTGGGAAGTAGATTGGGGATGGGATGGGGGTCATTGGGGAGCATGGGAGGATGGGGGAGAGAGGGAACTGGGATTGATATATAAAATAAAATTGTTTCTAATTTAAATGAAATTTATAAAAATGTAATACACAATTAAATACAGATTATTGATAGATACCTATAATAGTCAAAACTTGGGTTTTCTTTATATTCAAGATATATTTCAAATGGGTAGGTAGGTATTCTTCAAAACCTTTCAGAGACCTATAAAATGGCACTTAAAATGATTTATTAGGGTTTTTTCATGACAATGAGACACGACTGCTCCTGGCGACACCAATTACATCAGAGAGGAAGATGGGCATCAAAGAAACTCATTATGGAGTTTGCCTTCAACATGGCAGGGATAGTCACTTGGACAAGAAACTGTTCTTGCCTGTACTAGTTGAAAGCACACTATCCAAACTGGACAAGCAGGTTACAAAGAAAAGTGACTGCTGAACTTGCCAAGTTACAGGATGGTCCTTCAAGGTTCCTGCTTTATCAAATGGTCTACCAGACATTCTGAGCCTATAGGCTAATGAGGGATGACCAAACATCACAGAGAAACTTTGGGTGACTGTCCAGGGAGGTAGATGATGTCTCTGTTAACTCTACAGTTCATATATTATCCTTCTGGGGGGGTTGATGGAGTTGAAGACAGATAGTTATGGTTTTCCATAGTTATGATAAAAGATAATTACACATAAAGCTTTAGACTCACAATTATAAAATATTTTCTTTATATTTTGCCAAATGTTAGTGGACCAAATATTGTTAACTTTCTTAATAACTTAATAACTTTCTTAATAACTGTTTTGTTGTATATAATTTTATTAACTTAAAGTTAAAACATTCCAGCCCACATAGTGCCACAGAGGGTGCTCGTGACTCCTGTTTATGTAGAAATATATGAGTCTCCTTGTACTTCCCACCTCAAGGTATGGTTATATTGTCAGAGATGGAGAAAAATCTTACGTTTCCTCCATTCTTCTTACAGGCTGTGGTAAGATAGTCCATGGCAAAAAAGAAGCACCCATGAGTCTGCCATCAATGTGAAACACATTTGTGGTACAGAAATGGTAGAGAGACTGGAATTATTCTTGAGGAATGATAATCAAGGGCTGAAGAAAGACTTATGGTTTCTTGTACTTGGATATGGGTATGAGTGTCAGTTCTTTGTGTCATGCTCTTTAGAAGATTTTTCTGAATATTTGGGTTGGCTCCTGTCTTCTATCCACTGGTAACGTCAACCCCTAGGATGCCCCCTCCCTGTTAATGATTCTTAAAGAGAGAAAGTCAGCAATGCCAAGCAACACGAGCCAGTGCTGTGTCATTATCTGGATATTCATCCTAACTCTGTGTTTACAAAACTAGACAAGGATGAAGCAGCAAAAGACAGATAATGACCCTATCTGATGGATTTGCAGAATAACAAATTGAAAAATACATAAGGTAGGAGTCTTGATTCTGAAACCGTAAGAGTTGCTTCTATCAGATACTCAGCCTAGGGAAGGACCTAAGAAATTTGAGGCCTGTAGCATCCTGAGACATCCTCCTCACTGCTAAGATGGCAGAGACCATCAAGAAGGAAGTCGACTAAGCACTCAGCAGCAGGTCTTTAAAAGGAATCAAAATGATGCCTGCAAGAGTGCTGGATAAGCATGACTTTGCAAAAGTGGAAATGAAGGAAACAAAAAAGGGAGTAAAAGGGGGATAAACCTTCAAGGAATATGGTACAACTAGAATCAAGACCAAGAAACCAGTGAATTAGTTGCAGTGAGTGGGGAACATCAATGGGGAGAGCCCTGCCTCTGGGAAAGCAGGAGAGAAAGGAGACAGGTCTGTGTGGTCTCAGAGTCACACCTCAGTAGTCCTGGCCTCCCACTTGCAACATGTGAAACACATTAACTACTTTACAAGGGCAAAATTTTAGTAGTGTTAGCAAGTTTTT